GAATTGCTGACCTTGCAGTTAGCAGCCCACTATGCTAGCAGAGCTCATACTTGCAATAGTATTTGTTATATGTCTCTTTCCTAAATGACAAGCCCAATCTATCTGCTCATTTCCAGACCTTTTCAATGCCTCCCCTCCCAAAAGTTTATGAAACTATGTACATTGGAGAGAAGGCTAAAACCAGTAATTTCCATCTTTTTTCTCCTTGGTTCATTGCTTTCCTGAGACTTGGCCTGAAGACAGCATGAAGTAGGATTCCAAGAGCTTCATGGGGTATTCAGTCAGCTTTATCTTCCTTTGGTGCCTCTATCATCAAACTGCACATTAGCCTCTCCCACAGACCAAACAGAGCTTGTCAGATACCTAGGAGCAACTGCATTGTCTATTCAGTTGCTTGTATTATGTTTGTACAAAGTTGCTTCTTGTATTACTAAGTGGAACAGACCATAAATCATAGACTATTAAGTGAAATTACTGTGTAAGTGTAGAATCAATGTAGCGAATGGAGAACAGAAATATAATTCTGTATTAGCTTTGCTATGTGTATAGACTTCTTAAAATGTTTTTTTGGGAAAGTCTTAAAAGTATGCATTAGTCTGAATACACAGGTATAAAAAATTGTGTCTTAGCGATTATGACAGATAGAACAGCAAAATTATCATCCCCTAGGATAATAATTAAGGAGCTCTGGTAGTGTAGTTGTTACGAATTGGGCTGGGAATCGCAAGGTCAGCAGTTCAAAACTACCAGATGTTCCGCAGGAGAAAGATGAGGTTTTCTGCTCCCCTAAAGATTTACATACAGCCTTGGAAACCCTGTACAAGGTCGCTATGAGTCGGAACCGACTCCACGGCACATAACAACAACAACAGGATAATAATTAGATTACTAATCACAGGTCAGTGGTTCAAACCCACCATCTGCTCCTAGGAAAGCCTATGCAGGGCTGCTGTGAACTGATTCGACGGGCATACAACAACAACATATACAGGTTGATAGGAAACAAATGCATCTCATTGATTACCATCATATACCATCTCATTGATTACCAAAATAATTCTGATAAGCAGGGTATACATTTTCATCTCCATTTTTAAAGGCAGAAACGGATGGCTTGGAGTTCTCTGATTAAATAATTCATGCAGGCCCAAGTGAGAGAGTGCTTTGTTTAGTCTGCAGTTCATTAGCATAAATTTAAGGCTTTGGGGATAACCTTCATTTTTCTGCAGTGAATGCAATGCATCATACCTGGTTTATTTCCTGAGTGGTTGCTATTCGGTCCTGAAACAGCAGAGGAGGGGTGGTTGGAGGCAGGCGTTTTCTTATCTTGCACTTTGTAGCTCTCAGGCGCTATACAAACGAGACCAAAAAAAGAGAGACCGATTTAGTTTCTTTAGATTTATTCCCAGTCATCTATTCAATACTGAGGATTAGTCTCTGTATCAAGTACAAAGCAAGATTCAGGAGATAAAAAACTGCAGCAGTTACAGCTCCTGCCCTCAAGGAGCAGAAGCGCTGAGTGGGAAGGGCACACCCAAAAAGTCAACAGCATCAGCTCAAGTCCTTATGCTACAGTGGCGTGTCCCTGGGTTGTGGAGACCATTTACCTTGGCTGTCCATAAACCTTACAGTTTATGGATAAAGAAACCACATCCAAGTACAACTGGAACCTAAAGTCTCTGATCTTAGTCCTTACAAAGTTCATGTATTAATTACTAAAAAGTTCCAGCATCATAACCAAGCAGGTCATTAAAAGGGAATCAGGAGATAACACTGACTGGGATTTGGAAAGTGCTTCTAACAAAGGTTAGTAAAAAAAAACTAGGTGAAAGTCAGAATTGACGCTACTGTACACGGCAACAATGGGGGAATGTATTTCGAGAAAGGCACAAAGGGGCACAGACAACCAGGCACTTCTCTGGTTATATAAAGTATTGTTGTTGTTAAGTGCTGTTG